ATGCTTTGTTTTTCCTTCCTTCTTTCCTTCCTCTTTTAGTCATCACTGCAACTGTTTTACTGCAAGTTACAGCATACTCAATAATTTCGGGAAAAAAAAACAACAACTCACTGGACTGATGTCAACTCAGCAGTGTGTGCATTTTATTTAAGAAAAAGTGAGTGTAGCAAGGTCATTAAATAGTGACAAGTAGGGTTGGTTCAGTATAGAAGTAACCAAGTATTTATTACTCCCCACCATGTTTTTGAAGCCAACAACAAAAAGTCATGTTTTCCTTTCAGTGCAGCTGATGTCTTGCCTTTGCTTTTGCAGAGTCTGATGAAGTGTAGCTGGGAAAGCAGGGAGCAGCCGACCATCATCCCTCAAGGAGTGCCGTACATGGTGAAGCTGCTGAGGTATTACGTCAGCGAGGACACGGTTTACCTCCATCTTGAACATGTCAAAGGTAAGGAAAAAAAATATCAACTGCGTCTTAAAAAGTTTGTTTTAGTTTACAGTGTTTAGTTGAAAAAAAAAAAAAAACACACAGGATCATCAAGTCCAATGCCTTTTTTTCCCCCCCAAGGTGGGAGGCTCTTCTCTAAACTTCACAAGCTGAGGAAAGAGAGAGCCAAGGAACACCCAGAATGCATCACACCTGGCCAACACAACAACAAGATGAAGAGCAGCTACACCTCGCCCACAATCTGCACGGAGTACCAGCGCAGCATCAGCATGGAAAGCGGTCACAAGATGAGTGACGAGAGCCCGGATGTGGATGACCCGAGATCTTGGGACGAGACCCAGCGGCGTCTGGACAGCTGCGGGACTCACTCCTACATTGAAGAGACGGGCTGCCTGCAGAACTCCCGTTCGGCCGCATCGTTCTACAGCAAGCTCGACCGCCTGACTTTACTTTCTGGACCCGCCAGATCGCAGGTCAGCGCTCGCATCCATCCGCCAGCTCCTACTTTGTGCTTGCACTCTTCTCGAACTCAGGACAAGCCCGCTCTTCCTTTGTCTTGCGCTCGTGTCAGCCAAGCTCTGGACGTCATGTCAGAACTCAGTGACAGCCAAGCTGGAACTGGACTCATCGAGTGCAGCTCCGACTTTGAAGTCGCTTGGAAGGCTGCAGATCCAGCACTGAGAGGTGACCAAATAAACCCCTATGCAGTTACTGAAGGTGTCTTGAACATGACACTTCATTCAAAGCAGACCTCGTGTATAAAAACAGATTCTCCAAACACAAAAAGTCATATTTTAAATTCCTCTCCGGCCATTTTACATCTTCCTCTCCATTGCCAAACACAAATTCACGGAAGAGCGTCTTGGGATGGACCGGGCTTTCATCAGGGATCCATTTTAAGTGCGGCCGACCAGGTTACAAACTTGGACGCGACGCATTTCGGCAGCAGTCCCAGCCCAGAGGAACGAAATGGAGTGGTGGTGCTTCGGAGCACAGACCAAGTTGTGTTCTCGGACCACAGGGAAGCACAGACCACCCAGGGAAGCTCCTGGCCTTTCTCTGCAAGGGAAACGTGTCCAGTGGATGTGAGAGACGGTGTGGAAGAAGCCTGTGAGCTGCTCAGTCCAGGAAATGTGGCCCAACCTTCGAGGTGCTACTCCCCCTCCCCTCACGTGGTGGGGGCCCCAAAAAGGACTGAGGGCTCACCCGTGAGGACCGAGTGGCAAGGAGATGACCAGATCATCGAGGTGGATGGATGGTGCCACGTACCTCGTTTACCGCTCAAACCCTCAGATAAGTCCAGCTGTCGGACCTGCTGGGGGCTCCCAGAATCTGAGGTGCGGGTGTGGGGCGCTCAGATCCTGCTGGCTCTGGAGAGCCTTCATCAACAGGGCATCATATGCCGGGACCTCAACCCAAGAAACGTTCTGCTGACCAGCAACGGTGAGTGTCACGCAGAGGATTGCGCGCAAGAAGTTTGATTTGGTTGAAAATGCATTGTTTTATATTGACACAGGAAAGGCGTGCTTGACTTTTTTTGGACAATGGAGTGAGGTTCAATCGGAAATTAACTGTGATGCCATGGAACAGATGTACTGTGCGCCAGGTAGCCCTCAACCTCTGTTCCGGTTATGGACACGTATGGACAAAATGATCAGCACCCCAATTTTTAATGAAACAACAACTGTAATAAAAATAATAATGTAATGAAAATCAACCAATTAAAATTTGACATTGCTTTTGATTTATGGGTCAAGGAAATGTTATGACAATTATTACTTTTTAAATAAACTCAAGAAACAGGCCTGTATGAAAATGAATAGTACACCTACAAAAGACTAAAAATAATTTGACCATATGGACATGTTCAACCAAGGCGTGTCCTCTAATTAGCCTCACAGTTGTCTTAAGACTTGCGATCATTCAGATGTCCGATGACCGATGTCAAGGATGACAACTACAATCACGGTGCTGGTGGCTGACATGATGTGTTAACACACTAATCGTCTCATGGAGATTCGTCAGAAAATGAAGACTGTCCAAGCAGCTCGATGTTATGCAAAGCCAAAAAGCCAACACCGCTGTTGAAAATAAATCATAAAAAATAAATTGCCAAACTGCACACGTTTCTGAGAGAATGTCTTATGGACAGACGAGCGCCCCCCCCCACCCCCCCAAAAAAAAAAGAAAAAAGAAAGAAACATTTTGGCAAGGCATGTGCCAAAAGCAATGTCTGATTCTTAATTTTCATTACATTTTAATTTATTACAACTATTAATGTCACTTACTATTTTTGTTTCCTGAGACAACAGTGGAGTACCAACAATTTTGTCCACATGTGTAGATGTATTCATTACACCAAGTGAACGGCTGCATTTGTCACCAGAAATTGGTGGAGTGTCCAGAGTCACCGAAGCTTGTGATTGGTGGAGCCTGGGGGCACTGTTGTTTGAACTTCTCACCGGAATGGTAAGTGAAATCTCAGAATGATTCGAAGATGCACTCGAACCTTTAGAGGGGAACTTAATTTGAGCCCATCAAAACCTTTGAATGTTCCAAAACGTCAAACAAGGAGCAGAAATGTCATTCATTATCTTTGTAATCTCATTCGATTGTGTGGTTGTACCTTAAGTGTGTCATCAATAGTAATATGCAAATTGATATATAAAGTGCACATCCATATTTATATTTATAATTAATTATAAATAATTTCATGCATAGTCTTGCTCTCTGTGCCTTCAGCCACTATGGCAGCTCCACCCAACAGGAATCAACTCACACACTCAGCTGCTCATCCCCGACCACCTGAGCACCACTGCTGCATCCCTGCTTCATGAGGTGTGCAACACGCATTTATTTTAAAGTTGAAATCGTGACGAGAAGCCACCAAAGTGAAATGAACATTAGAGCCGTTTTAGACCACTTGGCACATATCATATAAACATATCACGGCACACCATTAGGCAAAAATGCCACGAAACACATATACATTGGTGCAACTAAACCTAAAATGAGCTTTAACCTGAACAAGTGAAATTACTTTGACCTTCTTTCAACTTGTGAGTCCACGCAACTTTTTCAGAGGTTACTTTTACGCACATCTTGCTGTTTTTGTTGCACACGCATGTGTATTCAGAATTTGAGAGAAGATCAAATTAAATTCAACTGGAAATGTTGCCTCGTATATTAGGTTGACCCTGAAATTTCACCCAAAATTTGACTATCCCTAAATTTTCGGAGTAGTTACTGAAATAATGATCTCATCTCAATTTACCCACAAAGGGATTTAGCGTGAATTCTGGGTCTGTTTAGTTGAACGCAGACAGGGCTTCTTGTCAGGCTTCTGCAGAGGTTGCTGACCATTTGAATCAGGTGTTGGAAGAGGGAAATATCAAAAACCCTCGAGGACCGGAGTTGCCCACCCCTGCATTATTTTATTGTATCAATGTCAAAGTGATGCACATGTTAATTTATGTACCTTCTGCCATCTAGCGGAAGAACAAGCGATTGTTCTGCCAGTCGCCACACATCTCCCGCTTTCATAACTGACCAGCGATATATTATTTGCCATAAATAAACAACTTTCAGACCACTTGGGTGAAATTAGAGAATTTTCCCTAGAACAATGACTAAATCGATTAGGCGACACCTTTGCTTCTGTTTCCACAGTTACTTCAGTTTGACGCAGGCTATCGTCTGGGGTGTGGCGGTGGAGGGGTGAGCGACATCAAGTGTCACCCCTTCTTCAGCAGTGTCTCCTGGAAGGCCCTGAGCTGCTAGCTGGGTGCAGATGCCTCTGCGATGCACTGGAAACGAAAAAAAAAAGAAGAAAAAGAGTAACCCAAATGTGTCTAAACCCTCGTTGTGTGCTTCCCAAAGAAGATTGACTGTGACAAGAAAAGTGATGACCGCATGAAGTCTCATCAACAGCACATATGAGGTCCTTTCAACACACAGTTGCAGAACATTGTAAACCTTTGATTTTCATGACTTATTTTCTATATGCGTGCAGATTTACCATTATCACCATGCATGAAATTGGGTAACATTTGACAATCTTTTCGGACACCTGTAATTATACTGAGTGTGTGTAGTGGAGAGAATGAAAATGAGACAATATTTCTGACTTGAATCATACATTTCATTCAGAATGAATACTGCCATTGTCACACCATTGGAGTTTCTGGCTAGAACTCTTTGCAGGTTGAAAAGTAACATCAAACCAATTACCAAATGCATTCTTGATGAGAATAAGACAACTCTCACACACACTTTTAAAATAATAAATACAGTTAAGCTTTAGGTATTAATATAACTGTCTTGATACTAAAACTGCACATATCAAGCCAAACTGATGTGAAAGGAAAATATGGCAGGATGATAAGCGGCTTGAAAAATGGATGGATGTACTGTATTTTCCGAAGTGTTTGCAGCTTCAATACTCAACTAGTATGATGCATTGACTTTTGTCATGAATTAAACTGCAACTTTCCACGGAATGCTTTTTTTTTTTCTCCCTCACTGTTGCCCACTGAGACACAAACACACACATACATTAAGTCCCATAATTTCGATTTTTATTAAAACATTTTTTTTTTCTTAAATATTCTAACAGAGCATGAGGAGAACGCTCCACATTGTTGTGTAGTAGCATCAATTCTCCAATTAAGAGTTCTTCACTTTGGACATAACATTGTGTTCCTTGGTTTCAACGCATCCTTATTCTCTCAGAAAGCATGTTGAACCTAGATTTGTCATCTCATAATAACGTGAACACATTGTATGTAGAAAATTACATATGGCGAACATACAAGACTGGATATACTATTTGATCTAATGACCAGAACCCGGAAAATCCTCAGACAGTACCAAACCCTTATATGACTGCCAGCCTTATATTGCACAACCCAACTGTTAACCAAACAAAAAACAAAAAAACCCCAAAACCAAATCTATCGTTTGAGTCATGTCCATAGGGTGGGTTATAGCCACTGGTTGTGTGGGGCGGTTCAGTCAGTTGGGCCTGGAGATGACGTGGGCGCTCACATGTCGAGGAGCAGCACCCTGGGGTCCTCCACCACAGACTTGATCTTGCGCAGGAAGGTGACGGCCTCTCTTCCGTCAACCAGGCGATGATCGTATGTCAGGGCCACGTACATCATGGGACGGATCTCCACCTGTGGAGTCCCAACAAAAACAACAACAAAAATCTTCAACTTGCACGACAAAGTTAATTTTTGATCATGTTGAATTTATAATTAAAAAATATATTCATTTAACTTTCTGGCTCCAATTTTAAGCCCTTTTTATAAATACAGAAACATACCAGCAAGTGCAGAATTTCATAATAAGGTGGAATAAAGCACCACCCTGTGGTACTTTATGGCACTGCAGAACTTGCAGTGCTGCTTTAATTGCAAACACTGATTTTCTAAATCATCCTTTAAGTCTTCAGGATGTACACAAATTACACATTACATTCGCCTGCCACAATATTAGGTACACCTGAGCATTCAAAGTGGATGAGTTGTTTAAAAAAAATGGCCGCCACAAAGATGTAAGTGGTAGTTTTGGTGAACGGTCAGCTGTCTTAATGTGCATGCACTGTGAAGCGTAGAACTAACTGCAAGACATCACAATGACAAGTTTGTAATATTTATGCTATACTATACTGATGGCGCGCAAAGGACAATGGATGCCCAAAGGGCAGGCAGATTTTGGCCAATTCCTGCCAAATGTATTTATTAAAAACCATTTTGATTGTTGCTCGTGTAATACTCCACTTTCTTAAGTTGGTCAATGTGGGTTTTTTGCTAGCTGCCAACAGAAAATATAAATAAATAAATAAATAATACAGCGGACTGAATCTCTGAATACTTTTCAAATTTATTGCGACACACCTATAGGGGCCAGTTCTTAACTCTTTCCACATGGAGAACACAAACCTTGCCAGCCACAGCCACAGGCCTGTCAAATATGCCATGCATGCCCAAGATAGCAGATTGAGGCGGGTTGATGATGGGTGTGCCGAACATGGAGCCGAACACGCCGCCGTTGCTGATGGTGAACGTTCCTCCGTCCATGTCTTCCACGGCCAGTTCGTTGTTGCGGGCCTACAAACAGACATTCAAATAACACTTCAAATGAGCTAAGCAGCTTTATCACAACAGTGCCATTTTCTACATAATGCACCCTGTTTCGCAACATCATCCATCCATTTCCCACACTGCTTAGTTTTATTAGGGTCATAGATGAGTAGGACCCGATCCCAGGTGGCTGTTGGATGAGAGGCAGGGAGCACCCGGGACTGGTTGCCAGCAAGTCACAAAGATAACTAAGTACTCACTCACAGTTATACATGTGGCCAATTTAGAGCAGGGGTGTCCAAGAAAAGGATGCAAGGGCCACTTTGACATTCTCCACCTTTAAGTTGCTTAACGCACGAAAAACAACTCATCCATTTAGATGATATACCAATTATATATTGTTTTTGTACACAGTAAATTTATTACACCTGCAGGAGTATTCCTCAAGAACAGATCTATCTACCTGTTAACTGAGAAGCAGCAGCAAAATCATGTCCACACACAGCCCCAAAACTAGAGCAGTCTGGACTATAATGACAGCCTTCAAAGGAGCGTTTACATGAGCATCATTGTATTGTGATGTGTTTTAAAATTAGGATATTGGTACTGGAGCAAACCTCACACTATTTGCTTCTGTCACTGATTTATATGTATTCACTGGGATGAGGCTGCTATTGCGCAAGACATTTTTGAAGAAAAACAAAAAACAAAACACACCTTTTCGCCCAACATATTGATGGTCTTCTCAATGTCAGCAAAATTCATTCCCTCAACATTCCTGATAACAGGAACAACCAGACCCTGAGGGAAAAGTCACAAGGAAAATTTGTGAACATTTACCATGAGCGTGACACATACACACACACTTGGCTTACCTTTGGTGTGGCCACAGCCACGCTGATGTCGACGTAGTCCCTGTACACAATCTCTTTGGTTGTATCATCAATGACTGGGAAAAGAAAAGGGAGCAAACATGGGAACAAAAATTGTCACACAGAGTGCAACTACTGTATGGTTTTGAGGATGACATTGAAAGACAACTTGACACCACTGTGCAGCGTGCACAGAGTCAAGTCAAACCAAAGTGAGATGCCAGGCAGTTTTGTGCGGTGAGGCCCTTACCAGCATTGACAACAGGTTGGTCACTCAGAGCGTAGGCAGATGCCTTCACGAATGCAGACATGAAGCCTAACTTGATGTTGTGCTTCTTCAGGAAGGCGTCTTTGTAGCTCTTTCGCATCTCAGAGATGTTGCTAGGCAAGGAAAGTAAGATAACGTCTCAATTGAGGGGGGAGGTAAATAACACGTGCAGCCCCCAAATATACAACAATACAGAGATCTCAAACCATTTAAATATCACTGGCGTTGGGTGGAATCCACATGCCCTCAAAGTCCTCACTTTTCAAAAGAACGCATCAATCGTTCACATTGTCAAAGAGAGCAAGCCATTTTCAACACAGGTCAATATTTTGTTAAACTGACATGTGCGGACTAAACACTAAAGAGATATTTGTGATAAAATATGAAATGTATCAAATTGTGGCATAGGTTCTGGCATACCGCCAGCAACATGCGGGGATCACAATTTAAGTCGTTCAAAAAGTGAAACTCATAAATTCGCAACACAGAATGAATTGTATTTATTGGATTTTTAAAAATAATTTTGATGATTGCAGCTAACAGACAAAATTTACCATAAAAACATTTTTAAAAAAAACGCGGGGATCACAATTTAAGTCATTCAAAAAGTGAAACTCATAAATTCGCAACACAGAGTGAATTGTATTGATTGGATTTTTAAAAATAATTTTGATGATTGTAGCTAACAGTTAAAGAGACAAAATTTACCATAAAAACATTTTTAAAAAAAAATATAGAATGTAGTAACTTTGTCATGTGGAAAGTGTTCTACCTTGGTTAATGAATCTGTGACAGATGAATTTGACTTTTAATTGAGCCACAAAGAGAGAGTTAAAATTCTATTCAAAATAATATTCTGCTATTTCAAGAACAAAATGTAATGACTTTGAAAGCCTTGATAACAAAAGCTTAAACGCTTAGCGAAGCAAGCTCAGCATACATAGTCTGAATGGGGAATTTTGGTGGTGACTTTTGCTTTCGGGCTGGACAATTTTAAAAAGCACTCGACATTTCTCTATCCCGGCCAAGTGTCACCGTGGTGATGGCGCTAGCAAGCACCTCATGCTAATGTTGGACTATTTATTGCCGGGGTTTGCCAGTTACTCTTTGTTAGAACCTGCAAGAAGTTACAAATCATTTTACCTTGGCTCATTTTCCACTTTTATCTTGATTTTTAATTGTTTGTTTTCCTGTCTGTAAAGCTCTAGGGTTTCTCTGCTAACACAATTAGCCCCTCCCAAGACACAGACTCCGTGAGAAAGGAGAGAAGAAGCGATAAAAATCTTCACTTTCGAGAGTGTGTAAATCTTATTGGGCTGACATAAAAGCCCCTATCAGTGGAGGCTGCCCTTCCACTCAGGGCGCAGGTCTCTGCGGGCCCCCGGTAGATGCTACCGCCTCACGCTCTGACCCCCTCCTTCGGCTCCAGATG